GGGGTGCATCTTGAGTGATAAGAGCATTTCCTATCACCTCTGTACAGTATGTTCACAAATACAAAAAAAAAAAAAAAGTTTCTTAAATTTCTAATCTGAGTAATCTTAAAACTTACAACAACAACAAAAAGATATGATCAGGAGGCACAGTGGCTCAAGCTCACAATTCTATTACTTAAGAAATGAGATAGGGGCTGGGAAGGTGGCTCAATGGTAGAGTGCTTGCCTCCCATGCATGAGGCCCTGAGTTTGAGTCCTCAACATCAGCAGAAAAAAGCCGGAAGCAGTGCTGTGGCTCAAGCGGTCAGAGTGCTTGCCTTGAGCTGAAGAGATCCAGAGTTCAAGCCCACCCACAACTGACAAAAAAAAAAAAAGCATCTAAGAAGTAAGATAAAGGGAATCAGACTCTTGTGACCACGAACAACAACAATAACAAACACCACCCAAAAAAGCAGTGCGCATGCGCAGACACAAACAAAAACACCTCTATATCCCACCCATGGTGAAAGAAAAAACAGGAAGACTGCAGTCCAGGTCATAAAGTAAGACCTATTGCAAAAATAACCAACATAAAAGGACTGGCAGGGTAGTTCAAGTGATAGAGAGTATTGCTTAGTAAGTGTGAGCTCCTGTGTTGAAACCTAAGAACTACCAAAAAAATATCTCCCAAAACCAAAAGACATAGCTGAAAATCATAGAACTTGAGTACTGCTACTTTATTGAGATTATGTTGTGCAAATTCCTATATTTAACGTAAATTACTCTACTTTAAATTCGCTAGATGGGAGGAAAATTCTTTATATCCAATTTAATATGAAAACTAGCAATAGATCGATCCAGAATTGTTTTTTCCCATTTGTATATAAAATCTCAGACTTAGCCAGTGCTAGTGGCTTATACCTTTAATCGCAGCTATTCAGGAGGCTAAGACCTACAGCATCACATTTTGAAGCCAGCCTGCACAGAAAAGTCTCCGAAAGTCTATTTCCAATTAGCAAGCATAATGCAAGTCTGGAAGTATGGTTCAAGGTTTGACTGCCAGCCATAAGCAAGAAAGTCATCCCAGAGTACAAAACCTGGAGTTCAAGCCCCAGTACTGGCAATAATAAAATGAATAAATCTCTCAGACTTCCATAGTATTATTTTCATTAACTAATTTGCAAATGAAAAATTATAAAAATTATTATATAATGATTTCTCATCAAATGCAAAAGTTCAGTAAAACAATACCGGGTTTTATCAGAGATCCATTCTTCATTGATGTCCTCATGCATCCGTGGCAAAATCCTCATCACCTCTCCAGTTCTCGTGCTCACTATAATATTACTTCCAATTGCATCCATTACATCAATGGATTCTGTCTTTCTGAAAAAATATACACACATACTATGTTGTGAAAATAAAGTTTCTAATAGCTGATTTATAAAAAAAGATTAACAATTCTTATTCTCAATTTCAGAAAAATAGTACTAAAAATCTTCATATTGTAAATCATCACCTAAATTCTTTTTTTTTTTGTCGGTCGTGGGGCTTGAACTCTGGACCTGGGCGCTGTCCCTCAGCTCTTCAGCTCAAGGCGAGCACTCTACCACTTGAGCTACAGCGCCACTTCGGTTTTCTAGTGGTTTATTGGAGATAGGAGTCTCACGGTCTTTCCTGCCCGGCTGGCTTTGAACCGCAATCCTCAGATCTCAGCCTCCTGAGTAGCTAGGATTACAGGCATGAGCCACCAGCGCCCGGCTTATCACCTAAATTCTTAATGTGGTATAACCTTTAAAACTATTTTTCTGACAGAGATCAAATTGAAGGAATTAAATATGGGACGATTTTTTTGGGGGGTGGGTGTCAGTTATGGGGCTTGAACTCAGGCCCTGGGTACTGTTTCTGAGCTTTTCTGCTCAAGGGTAATGCTCTATTGCTTTGAGCCACAACTCCACTTCCGGAGATAATTGGAGTTAAGTCTCAAAGACTTTCCTTCCCAGGCAGGCTTTGAACCTCGATCCTCAAATCTCAGCCTCCTGAATAGCTAGGATTACAGGGGCAAGTGACCAGCACCCAGTTTGTTATTTATGTTGACAATGAAATTGCCACAGCAGGATACAGGTGGCTCACGCCTGTAATCCTAGGTACTCAAGAGGCTGAGTTCTGGTGATCACAGTTCAAAGCCAGCCCCAAAAGACAGGAAAGTCTGTGAAACTCTTATCTCCAATTAATCACCAGAAAACCAGTAGTGGAGGTGTAGCTCAAAGTGGTAGAGCACTAGCCTGGAGCAAAAGAGCTCAGAGACAGTGCCCACACCCCAAGTTCAAGCCTCACAACCAACAAACTCACATACAAAAAAGGGGAACTAGTTAAATAAAGTGTAACAGCCAGTTGAAACTTCACAGTAGAGACTATAAAAGGATCAAGACTTTTTTTTTTTTGGTCGTGGGGCTTGAACTCTGGGCTTGGGCGCTGTCTCTGTGCTCTTCAGCTCCAGGCGAGCACTCTAAGACTAGAGCCACAGTGCCACTTCTTGTTTTCTAGTGGTTTATTGGCCATAAGAGTCTCACAGACTTTCCTGCCCAGGCTGGCTTTGAATCGAGATCCTCAGATCTCAGCCTCCTGAGTAATTAGGATTACAGGTATGAGCCACCGGCGCCTGGCTCATCAAGACTTTTTTTACTCCTTAGAACAGGTTAAAAAAAAGTGGTTAGGTACTTAAACATAGTATCCTAGAAAACTACAATTTATTTGTACAAGTTCATCCTATCCTTTAATCTAATTACTTATCTTCAAATAAAAGAATGTTTACAGATCAAACCAATTAAAATTTAGGAAGACAATGACACAGAACCTTTTGAATAGCAGTCAAAATTAAAAAAAAACAAGCTGACCCAAAATGAAAGATAAATACCTTGTTTCCCAAGGTCGGGCAGTAAAGGCATAGGGCTTAGAGGTTAGGGCACCCACGGGGCAGATATCAATAACATTCCCAGATAATTCAGACATAAACATCTTCTCTACGTATGTTCCAACTTGCATTTCATTTCCTCTGCCTGTTGTTCCCAAATCATCTACTCCTGCAATCTCACTCGCAAACCTAGAATATAAACATTTATCATCAAATGGTTGGGTCTAGCAAAGTTATTTCCTAGTCATAAGGATAATGAACTTTGAAACTCTAAAAAGGCATTAGTTATTTTCAATGGCAAGAATAGTCCTTGAATTTTTGCTATTAATTTAAGGTATAATATACAAACAGAAAATTGTACAAACCATATGTATAAGCTTGGCAAGTTATCACAGAATGTTTATAGATTATTAATTTAAAAATCAAACTGAAAGTTTATACTAAAAGTGAACAACTCCACCCCTACACTCCCACCCCCGCCCCAACAATCCATTAAAAACAGTTCATTCTTCTACTAAACTTGTCATTCTTCCCAGATGTGTTATTCACTAAATTTTAGGGCTAGTAAGGTCCCCATAATATTCTGGAAGACAGAAGGACAAAAAGTACCTGATGCACCGGGTACACTGAATGCACCTAGTCATAATGGTCTTTACCAATGGCCCGATGTTCTTGTCTTCTACTGCACGTTTCCCCTCTAAAAACCGGCTTCGATCACTTCCAAACATCATGGACTGGTCCTTAAGTAGATTAGGAAATAGTTAAATCTACTGCTGCTAATGAAATTAAAACAAGAAAATCAAAAAGATTTACAAAGGTCTATCAGATACCTGCAGATCACATTCTCCACCCTGGTCACAAATAGGACAGTCCAAAGGATGATTTGCTAGTAAGAACTCCATCACACCTTCTCTGTATGAAAAATTGTAATATATATAATATATAATAATATAAAATGATACAAATACCTATCACTCAAAAAACTTTATTTATATAGGCTATTTAAATAATCTTCACAGTAAGCCGGGCACTGGTGGCTCATGCCTGTAATCCTAGCTACTAAGGAGGCTGAGATCTGACGATTGTGGTTCAAAGCCAGCCCGGGCAGGAAAGACCATGAAACTCTTGTCTTCAATAAACCACTAGAAAAAAACGGAAGTGGTGCTGTAGCTCAAGTGGTAGAGCACTAGCCTTGAGCTGAAGAGCTGAGGGACAGTGCTCAGGCCCAGAGTTCAAACTCCATGACGGACAAAAAAAAAAACGATTAAAAAAAAAACTTCACAGATACTTTATTAGAGTTACTATTAGCTTTATATTTGTTATAGAAATGGCAATATATCATTCAAGTAGGACTAAGAGTACAATGTAGAAAATGTTTATAAGGTTAAGAATAAAATAGTATAGCCGGGCGCCGGTGGCTCACGCCTGTAATCCTAGCTATTCAGGAGGCTGAGATCTGAGGATCACGGTTCAAAGCCAGCCCCGGCAGAAGAGACTGTGAGACTCCTATCTCCAATAAACCACTAGAAAACTGGAAGTGGTGCTGTAGCTCAAGTGGTAGAGCGCTCGCCTTGAGCTGAAGAGCTGAGGGACAGCGCCCAGGTCCAGAGTTCAAGCCCCACGACCGACAAAAAACAAAACAAAACCAAAAAAAAAGAATAAAATAGTATAGATTCTAGGAAACTATGATTTTTTCAGTGTTGAGGATCAAGCCCAAGGCCACTGCATGCTAGGAAAGTGCTCTACCATTGAGCTATACCTCCGCCCTGAAATAGTTTATTTTTTTATTTGTTGTACAAGGGGTGCTGTTTAAACCTAGAATTTCAGCCTGAGCAGAATTGTTTCAGTTACATATTACCAGCTGCTGTGACTGGTTATTATTAACTTTTTATGTTATGATACTGATAGTCAAACCCAGGGATTTGTGCATATTAGTCATGCACTGAGCTTCTCTTCATTTTCATTTTGAATTAGTATGAAGATTTTCAGCAGTTTTTTTGGTTTATGTGTGTGCACACTTGTGTGTGTGTTGATGTGTGCCACTGAGTTTGAACTCAGGTGTTGGGCATTGGTCCTTAGCGGTTTAGTTCACATCTGACACTCGATTACATGAGTCACACCTCCACTTCCAGTATTTTTGGCTGGTTAAAGTGGAGTAAAGAGTCTCTTTGACTTTCCTGCCTGCTGGCTTCAACTGTGAATCTCAGATTTCAGCCTCCTGAGTAACTGATTATAGGCATACACCACTGGCTTAGCAACTTTGGTAATTATATATTGTTAGAAGTCATTATGGCACACATCAACACACACACAAGTGTGCACACACATAAACCAAAAAAACTGCTGAAAATCTTCATACTAATTCAAAATGAAAATGAAGAGAAGCTCAGTGCATGACTAATATGCACAAATCCCTGGGTTTGACTATCAGTATCATAACATAAAAAGTTAATAATAACCAGTCACAGCAGCTGGTAATATGTAACTGAAACAATTCTGCTCAGGCTGAAATTCTAGGAGCTTCATCACTAGTTGAGTAAATTAAGGGATTTTAATGGTGATCCCGTATCAAACTGAATACCAAAATGTCTCTCAATTGACCATTCTGCTGTGTACTTTTTGCTGCTCTTAAAAGGAAAGCAGCCAGGCGCCCATGGCACACGCCTGTAATCCTAGCTACTCAGGAGGCTGAGATATGAGGATCACGGTTCAAAGCCAGCCCAGGCAGTAAAGTCTATAAGACTCTTATCTCCAGTTAACCACCAGAAACCAGAAGTGGCCCTGTGGCTCAAGTGGTAGAGTGCTCACCTTAAGCTGAAGGGCTGAGGGACAGTACCCAAGCCCAGAGTTCAAGCCCCATGACCACCACCACCAACAACAAAAGGAGTAAAGCACATCAGCCAGGCAGCTGGTGACTCAAACTTGTAATCCTTGCTACTCAAGAGGCTGAGTTGAGGATCACAATTCCAAGCCAGTCCTGGCACAAAGTCCCTGTGAGACTATTATCGCCAATTAAACACTCAAAAACTGGAAGTGGCACTGTGGCTCAAATGATAGAGTGCTAGCTAGACTTGAACACAAAGAGGCTCAGAGACAGCACCCAGGCCCTGAGTTCAAGCCCCACAATCAACCCTTCCCCCAAATAAATAAGTAAAGCAACTTCTTTCTAGTTTGACACTAAACTCCACAACTGTAAGATACTTCTAAACATCATGCTAAGAAGGTCTGCTACATACAGACATGGTGGCACAGTCCTTTAATTCCAGCTCCAGAAGTGGAAGCAGGATTGTTGAGTTTTTCTAGGCTAGCTTAGACAAAGGTAAAAAGACCCTATCTCAAACATGAAATAAAAACTAAAGGTCTGGGAGTAGAGCTCAAGCAACAGGAGTGCCTGTCAAACATGTAAAAAGCCTAAGATTCAATCTTTAATACTGAGAAAAAAAATAGCAAGAAAGAAAATCAACTACATTAGTAAATACCTGGCTTTCTTAGTTTTTTCTGAGTTTGTCAGGATATTCCAACCTTTCATTACTGGCATAGCACAAGCAGCTACAACCTAGAATTTCAAGGGGAAAAACAAAAACTTGTATTTATAAGCAAACTTGTAAATATAAGCAAACTAGTGTGCAAAGCATTAAATTACATAAAAGCATTAAATTATACATACTTTAAAAAAGCAGAAAGTATTTTTTTTTTAGAATTTTTTAAGCTTCCAGGGCTGGGAAGGTAGTTCAGTGGTAGAGTGCTTGCCTGAGGCCCTGGGTTCGATTCCTCAGCACTACATAAGAAAAAAGCCGGAGCCGGGCGCTGGTGGCTCATGCCTGTAATCCTAGCTACTCAGGAGGCTGAGATCTGAGGATTGTGGTTCAAAGCCAGCCTGGGCAGGAGAGGCCGTGAGACTCCTATCTCCAATAAACCACCAGAAAACCGGAAGTGGCGCTGTAGCTCAAGTGGTAGAGCGCTTGCCTTGAGCTGAAGAGCTGAGGGACAGCGCCCAGGCCCAGAGTTCAAGCCCCACGACCAACAAAAAAAAAAAGAAAAAAGCTGGGAGTGGCACTGTGGGCTCAAGTGGTAGAGCCCTAGCCTTGAGCTAAAGAGCTGAGGGACAGTACCCAGGCCCAGAGTTCAGGCCTCACAACCTGACCCAAAAAATAAAAAAAATTAAAAAAAAGAATTTTTTAAGTTTCCATAATCATAATGTGCTAATCTGACCTTTCAACATTCCTCTAACAAACAAATAAGACATTGCTATGTTTTCATTATGGCCTATCCCCCAAAGATCCATGTGTTGGAAAGTCCATATCCATCTAATAACATTGAAAGATGGAGGGATGGGACTTTTAAGAGATAGGGTCTAATGAAAGGTTAACTGGACTATAAAAATTAATTCTGATTTCTCAGAGCAGTTAGGTCTGTAGGAGTAAGTTCAAGCCCCACGACCAACCCTCCCCCCCCCCCCAAAAAAAAAAAAGAGTTGGGAATGTAGAGTGCTTTCCTAGCATGGATGAAGCTCTCGCTTCAATTCCTCAGTACCACATACACAGAAAAAGTCAGAAGGGGCACTGTGGCTCAAGTGGTAGAATGCTAACCTTGAGCAAAAGAAGCTCAGAGACTCTTGCCCATGTAATTGTAACCCCTCTGTATGGCATTTTCATAATAATAATAATAATAAAAAGCTCAGGGACAATGCCCAGGCCCTGAGTTTAAGCCCCAGATCTGGCACAAAAAAAAAAGTTCTCATAAAAGTGGACTTTCATGAAGACTGAGGCCCTCAACAGAGGCCAGCTACACATGTCAGTTAGTTTATAAAATAATCTCTCTGATATTTAATTATCGTAACACAACAAAGACAGTCAATACAATTTCTCACTCTGCTCTAAAACAGAACATTAAAAAATTGTGCTTCATCTATAATCCTAGCTACTGAGAAGGTTAAGATCTGAGGATCACAGTTCAAAGCCTGCCAGGACAGGAAAATACATAAGACTTTTATCTCCGATTAACCACTAAAAAACCAAAAGTGAAGCTGTGGCTCAAGTGGTACAGCACAAGCCTTGAACAAGGAAGCTTAGGGCCAGTGCTCAGGCCTGATGTTCAAGCTCTAGGACTGGTAAAAAACAAAAACAAAGAAATGTGCTGTTACACCATGTCTGTAATCCTTGCTACTCAGAAGATTGGGATCAGAGGACAACAGTTCAATGCTGGCTGAGCTGGAAAGTATGTGAGACTCTTATCTCCAAAACAAGTTAAAAATGGAGCTGTGGCTCAAGTGGTAGAACACTAGCCTTGATCAAAAGATGCTCAGAGACAATGCCCAGGCCCTGAGTTTAAGCCCTAGGAAAGAAAGAAAGAAAGAAAGAAAGAAAGAAAGAAAGAAAGAAAGAAAGAAAGAAAGAAAGAAAGAAAGAAAGAAAGAAAGAAAGAAAGAGAGAAAGAGAGAGAGAGAGAAAGAAAGAGAGAGAGAGAGAGAGAAAGAGGAAGGAAGGAAGGAAGGAAGGAAGGAAGGAAGGAAAGAAGGAAGGAAGGAAGGAAGCGAAGGAAGGAAAATAGGTGGCTCATACCTGTGTTAATTCTAGCTGCTCTCAGGAGATTGAGATGTAAGAATCATAATTCAAAGCCAGACCAGGCAGTTGAATCTGAAACTCTTATCTCCAAATAACCAGAAAAAATCTAGAGGTGAAGGTGTGGCTCAAATGGTAGAGCACTAGCCTTGAGTTAAACAAGAGTGTGAGGCCCTGAGCTCAAGTCCTTGTACCAATGCTTGTGTACATGTGCATGCACACATACACACCCCCCATCATCTTTAATTTCTAGACTTGTTACAATTATATGACACATATGTTCAGAAAGCCTATCTATAAATATGGTTTTCAGTTTTGAAATGAATTCCACAAAAAAAATACTCAATTCACAGACAGAAATAAACAGGACGATGATATCCTCTACAACAGTATTGATATGGTTTGCTACAAGATTTAAAGTCTTCTACCTTCTACAGTATGGTGTGGAATTCTAGGTATCAGGTACCTTGGGAGCCTTCTCAATTTCAACCAGGCACATCCGGCAGTTTCCAGCAACAGATAACCTTTCATGATAGCAGAATCGAGGGATCTGCATGCCAACCTTCTCACAAGCCTAGAAGATAAAGGAAAAACATGGTTTTGTACTATAATAACTTGATATTACCTTGTTCTTGATTAGTTAGAAGGCAGAAAAAAAGAGGTCATCTTATTGGTTTTTCTTTTTGGTCGGATAGGGACCTTGAACTCTGGGCCTGGACACTATCCTTCAGCTCAAGGCTAGCGCTCTACCACTTGAATCACAGTGCCACTTCCGGCCTTTTCTGCTTATTTGGTGCTGAAGAATTGAACCCAGGGCCTCATGCCGCATGCAAAGAAAGCATTCTACCACTGAGCCACCTTCCCAGCCCACGTCTCATTGCTTTTATCCATAAATATTTCTTGATCTGTTTTAACTTCAATTTCTGAAGAGATTTGTCATCTTTGCTTTTGATCTCAACCTATCAGTTCTAAAGGTGCCTCAGAAAATCGAAGGTTAAAGTTCTCCGGCATGCTTTCATCTTTTTTGGAAGAAAGTACTAATCTGTGCTAAACGCTTTACTTCCTATGTCTGCTTTCAATCACTGGCCACAAAGGCTTCCTCTTCAAACTCTGATCTTGTGGTTTCATACCTGGACTTCCTCCTTGCTTCTTTTGGGCTCCCTTCCTTTCCCACACTAGATGACTAGCATCTAGTTCTATCTTTGGTATGACATACTCCACTTACTACTTACATTCTCTCTGGCTCAATCTCTTCCCAGTATCTGTTTTCCCAAATAAGGAAAGTTAAGTCTGCTCCACCAATTATAACTCCTCCTTTTCTGTTAATTCCTTTCTTCTGGTCTATGTTTTTATTCTAGTTAGGTCTTCAACCTTCAGCTTTTACTCTGAAGTAATTTTATAGCTTCCAGTGTTTTACCTTTTAATCAGCAAAAATGTATTAAGTTTTCATGTGCTAGACTTAGCAGGCATAAAGGTAAACAAGACAAAATCATCATCTTAAACTTCTTCACATGTTGTATGATTACATCTAGGCCTTCACTTGCAGCTACAGTCCCCTTCTCTAAGCTTCAGACTTAAATAGGCATTTACATATGTACATTCAACAGACAGTTTAAATTTAACCTATTTTTCCCCACCTACATCCCCAAATAAGCTAAAACAACAACAAAAACCACATTGTTTTCTCAGTCTCCATCATTTCAAAGGCCTTTTTATCTATATCCTTAGTCTCTCCATCTTGTATTCACTTACATTACTACAATGGTTGTTTTTTTTATTTCCTTCTCTGAAAATATGACATACTCTTTCCTTACCTTCTTCAGTTTTCCTTCTTTTCAGGTATCAATTGCTACAGTCACAGTCACATTACTAAGTAGCTATTAAATTATCTGACTGATCTATTGAGTTCTCTAGCAACTATCTTATTTCATGACCAGAACTTCTCTGCCTCAATTACTTGCTATACTGTCACCTCATCTTTTATGTGTACTATGTTTCATCAACATCAAATTTTGAAGCTTCCTGAACACAGAAAGCATCTGTTTTAGCTAATTACTTTCTCCATAGGAAATATGTGAGCCTCTTCTCATATAAATATACCTTTTCATCGTTGGGATCAACTGAGATACCACTGAAAACTCTTCCTACCAACTCTTATTCATGTCAAAATACTTTCCATTGTACCTTGAACAGTTTTCTTATATATTTAGTACTTCCATGTATATTCCTGGGTGAGAGCCCAGAAATGAATGCTAAAATGAACAACATTTGGCTCTGTGATAACCTGCAGATGGAATGAAGCATCACTTCTCCATGACCAAATTTGTTACTTCTATAGAAACTAAATATTTAAGATATGAATTCAATAACAGAAGACCCTTTATATACCTGCTTTATAGAGCACATTCATAGAAATGTCATTAAGGCCAGGCACTGGTGGCTCACACCTGTAGTCCTAGCAACTCAGTAGGCTGAGATTGAGGAAATTGCGGTTCAAAGCCAGCACGAGCAGGAAAAGTCCATGAGACTCTTATCTCCATTTAACCACCTGAAAACCGGAAGTGGCACTGTGGCTCAAGTGGTAGAACACTCACCTTGAGCTGAAGAGCTCAGGGACAGCACCCAGGCCCAAAATTCAAGCCCCACGATCAAAAAAAAAAAAATGTCATTAAGAACAGTAAAGTATATGAAAATGAAAAGGACTAAGCAGGCTCAAAACAAATTAATGTTACTCTTTCACAAACTGACGTATGGCATATAGCAATAAATAGCAATTTATTTATGGTCATTTCAAGTTTCTTAATGGGTATCACTTGGAAAATAGAAATAAAAACCAAAAAAAGTTCCATGGTATATAAATGATGGATCACTTTGAAATATCAAGACTGAAAAATCAAAACACTGTCATGTAGTTTTGCTATCTATGGTTCTTTTTAGAAATAAAAGGTGTATGGGCTGGGAAGGTGGCTCAGTGGTAGAGTGCTTGCCTTGCATGCCTGAGGCCCTGGGTTCGATTCCTCAGCACCACATAAGCAAAAAGAAAA